GCAGTTATCAAGGACTGCAGAGATGTGAGTTTTTGGCAAGGACGTAAGTCATCATGCCATCAGAAAGAGTTCTGAAACAAGAAGATACAGCTGCTAAAGCAAATACCCTAAATTTTTCTCTTGCCAATCTTATATGAACATAAGCCAAATCAAACTGACCTTCCTGTCTACTTCCTGCACATCACGCACCATTAGCACAGCTATTCTTCTCTTCTAAATGAATTCAGGACTTGGTTTGGCTGAACTGTGCCCTTTGATGTATATATTTCTGGAGTTCTTTATCTTGCAACTTACAAGTAGCACTTGCTTCCCATGAGAACATGCAGTGATAGACATAATGGGGCTGTATTGACTGGCTTGTACTGCAGACGGCACAAATACTGGTTGCTACCTGCAGCGTTGCCCATGGCAAGTCATTGTCTCTGCCCTGGACAGAGGCAATTAGATCACTGGCCAAAAAACCCACTTCTTAACAGTCAGCACATTGCATAGGGTTAAAGGAAGTAGCTGCTGACTCATTTTCAACTGTCTGAATGTCCGAGGTGAATAGAACTAAAGGTGAAACCCGAGTTTCTGACCTCAAAATTGAATGTCATATCTAAGCAATTTTCCTTGTGCTCTCTGGAAAAAAAAATAAATAAAAAATCTAAGAGCTGTACTTCAAACTAATAAATATTTAATGCAGTTTCTATTCAATAATAAGTATTCAATGGTGAACAGTATCTGATTTAATTTCTCAACTCTGCCAACAGAGGCATGAACCTTTAGCTAAACCCTCACTTTTGGACTTACTTTCCAAGCATTAAATCAAGCCATTCTCACCATATATTTCAGTCTTCTTAAATGCTGAGTACTCAGAGACTTAAGACAGACCCTAACATCTTTTAGGCGAGTTGGGCTGCTAAGCATTAGTTTATTATGTTCTGTTGTGATAATGTTCAATAATCCTTTTGTAACAACACAGGAGAACTGACACAAAAGCTCATTCAAAAATCATATTAAAAGGTTTATGATATGAATATTTACTTAGGAAATTCTTACCTATGGTAAGTAAACGGGTTTCATAGAAAAGCATACATAAGGATTCCATTCCTTATATCTGTGTATGTAATATCTGCATCAGATTTGCCTAAAGGCTTCTCCCCAAAGCAGGAATCCCCTGCTTGCACTCCTGTGCTTCCACGGAAATACTGGCCCTCTCACAGCTCTATTTAGATTGCAGCTGAAGATATTCAGGACATCTGCAGGATTCAAGAGCTATTCTTGTACGGAATACTTAATCCTATCTATAATGCTCTTTCTGACCAACTTTCATAGTGCTAGTGGGATGGTAATATATGGCAACCATTGTGACTCCTTACCTCGGGCACTACAGAAAACTGTAGTGGCAGCCAGGATTTCTGCAGGGCTCATGCAGAAGCAGCATTTTAGCACAGAAATAGATAGATTTTCCTTCCCTAAAGAAAGATAAGAGGAACTTCCATTGATGGTTTCCCTGGATACAGCTATGACCCATTTTGCAGGAAAAGACATTCTGATGCAATGTGTCCTCAGAGCACTGGAACTCACATGTCCACACTGTATATGCAGCATACCTGTTGAACAAGTAAGAAGAAATTGAAGTCTTCTCCCCACACCAATGATTTCTCTATACTTCTAAACAAAACGTTGACAGATGGAAAAAAAAAAAATTGCTGAAATTGTTTTCAATGTTATATTATTAATATCCAGATGAATCATAGAATCACCAAGGTTGGAAAAGACCTACAAGATCATCCAGTCCAACCATCCACAAATAACCAATAGTTCTCACTCAGCCACATCCCTCAACACAACATCTAAACTTCCTTGAACATCTTCACGGCTGGTGACTCCACCACCTCCCGGCGCAGCCCATTCCAGTGCCTGACCACTCTTTCAGAAAAGCAGCATTTCCAAATGTCCAGCCTGAATCTCCCAATCATCTCACAATTGGCTTTTCTCTTTTCTTTCTTTCTCTCTTTGTTCTTCCCCAAATAGATAAACCTCTCAAAAAGGAAAGTGCTTCTAGATTATTCATGCTGTTAATGATATTTCACCACTTACGCGTTGGAGTTTAATAAGAACATTAAATATGCAAATCATATTTTGTGAAAGATGAAATATCATTCTTCTAAGACCTCTAAAAGAAGTTTAACTTTCAAAGAACTTTACTATACAGTTGCTCTCCATTGATAGATAATATTTTAATCAGATCAGAACATTTCATTTCTGGACTCAGATAGTGCCTGCCAGCAGAAAGTTCATCAGCTGAGACTTTGTAAAAATACATTTCAAATACTATGTTGCCCATCACTACCATGATTTACTTATTACTGTCTTTGCTGGTGTGTGGGGAAAAGTCAACCAGCAGTTAATAATAGGCTGTAAACACAGCTCCAATTAAACGTAGTATATACTTCTTCAAACTGTACCATTCACCACAATTTAATTTTGAGGTTTTCGGTGTCCACTTCTAAACTGCTAGTTACAAACCAAAATTGCTTATGAACAAACTGTAACATCTAATTTGGAAAGTATTCAGCTATTGAGTGAGATCTTAAGATTGTATATGAGCAACTGTGATATATGTCTACCATATTACATGTTCTGAACTCAAATTGTTGTTGCGTCTTGTGGCCAGTTAACATCTAATTCTGACTTCTTTTTTGTTGTTTCAACTGCAATTGAACTTGCAATGAAAATTATGAACTGGTTATAAGCTTCTTGTTTAAGTATACAGCTTGCTCAGTGTCAGTGTCTACTAACCTCTAGCCAGACTAGACTTATGCTACATCAGCCATATTGATTCAAGAACATATCAGCACAACTCTCAGGTAGCTGACACAAAGAACGTAATTAAGGCATTTAACATCTGGCACGTTCATGACTCACTTTATTTATTACTTACTACAGCAATTCTGCACTGCATTATATTTTAAGAATCCTATTTGATTTCACCAGTCATACTGCCATTTGTAAGGTAGAGCTAAGCCAGAGAACCCGTGCCCATGCCACAGTGTTGCAGATTGGGTGTGAGCAGTAGTGAAAGAGCTTCATCTGAGCTAAGTAACTGAGAAGTGAGTTCACAGAACTGCTTGTCTCATAGGTGAGGGTTGATGCCCGAACTATGAAGTACAGCTTAAAATTACACTGGTCCTGAGCTTTGACCTACTGTGATCACTAAATGCAAGGCAAAAGAGCTTTGTGTTTGCTAGACAGTATTTGCATCAAACCACATTGGTTTTTGATCCATGTTCCAGTGGGAGCCAAAAATTAGTTTTCCACCTTGAAGCATAACTTGAAAATAGAAGGGAACTTATCTTCTGACTGGCAACAAGCAGAAAAGAGATATTGTCTAGGATATGCTGATACTCTCTTGTTCTTAATTGGATGATTTGTGCATTCCTTTTATACCCATTGCTGCATCTGTGAACAACAAGGGGGATTTTTTTCTCACCCACATAAAATCATCCAGACATTTTCAGACACATTCCAGTATTATTGCATATATTTTAACCTCTTCTACAATTTTTCTGTGGATTACCATGTTCTGAGTATTTAATACTTTGTACTGTCTGCTATAAGGTGTTAGACAGTAAAGTTGCAGCTTGTTACTTTCACTGGGGAAAGAAGAGGGAATGGAGAACAAAAGAGCAGATAACCTTTTGGTTCATCCTGGACATTACACTTATGATACAATTATCTGCTGTGTTCAGATCCGATTAGACAAAACAAGTCATTGCTTTCAGCCCTTTGACCATCCATCCCCAGTTCAGTATAGCAAGTATCCCTCTTCAATTAGCTTGGTTAAATAATTTTTATCTGGGGTGGTCACAGCTAGTACCTCACACCTGCATGAAACCAAATGTAATGCTGGCCCTCTTACTGACACTGGTAAAGCATTGTTCTAATGAGAGATCATGTCTTAGTTTGCTTTTAGGTCAGAATAGAGATTCCCTTACCAAGGCAGATTTTATGATCTGCCACCCAACTGTTCTTATCAGTGTACATACAATATACATAGTATTAACCTTCCAGGCTAGTTCTTTTTGTTTATATGAGGAACTAAATTAAGTTTAAAATATATATATATATATATATATATTACTATTCTGTATATGCTATCTGTTCTTGTTCAGGAAATAACCAAAGTAAAGAAAGCTTCCTAGATGACAGTCATACTTTGGTCAAGGACAGAGTACTTCAAGAACTGGGTTATTCCTGATGGTGGCTTTTGTAAATGCTCTTCCCTGATCTTCTCATTAACCTTCTGAACCTTGTGCCTACTGGATGGATCCCAGCCAGCAACTACCAAAGAACTCTTTGAAAGCAAAGTTTAAACCTCAGCTTCCAAACAGCATTACTGCAGCATACTAACTATATATATGAGGGAGACAAACAGTGTATTTATCTTTTTGAAAACGGCAGCTGATTAAAAATAAAGTACCAACAATGTGAGAAACATACAGTCCTGAGACCTTCAGACATTTTGGCACATAGCTCCGTCTCTCTCAGACAATTACATCCCCTTTCTTCGCTGCTTCTCTCCTGTTTTTCTCTCCCTCGAAGCCATGGGGGAGGTGAGAGCAGAGCTGGTTGTGAAGTGTCTTAGGATAATCCACTCTGACAGGGAACTATGCTGATTACAAGTTATGGCTTTGGAACAGTAAGGCTCCCACTGCTGTTCATGTATAAGTTACTGCTTTCTATTTAAAACTTAACAGTCACATCTAATCAAGAGAAATAAGGACAGTTTTATGAATTCCATGAGAAAAATTCCCCTCAGGTGTAGGCTGCATGGTTTGATCAGCTCCAGCATCATGTTTTAGCATTTCATGTTAATCCTGCAGATACTCAGCCAAGAACACTAGCTTTCTATTCTCCTGATGGCCATGCAAAAACATTTCAGCAATTTGTTATTATTTCAGCTAAACTTGCAATATGCAAATTAAGATTTATGGTAAATGAAGGCTTAAAACTATGCATTTATCTTCATGCAGAAAAGGTATCATATATTTGCAAGGTGCCAAAAATATGAAAGCTGGGCAGCAAACAAGCAAATTACAACTCTCAGAAGGCACTGGTGAGCTGTACATCAGCATTTCGTGTCCTGATGACAGGAAACAAACTATTTCACAGTTGAAGACTTTCCGAAAGATAGAGAGTTGACCCAGCCCCCAGCCTGAAGTATCTAGTTTCAGTTTTTCCACTTGAATATTGTTGAAGTGTCAGGTAAATTTAAGGTTTTCAACAAGACTACACTAAAAGAAAAAATATTGTTTTATGGAACAGAAGTATCCTGTTGAAAATACAATGATAGGAAAAAACGGATCGAGTACAGATAACATTAATACTCCCTACTATTCTCCCTACCTATGCATACACAATTAACATCATTCCCAGCCATGTGCTGATTCAGCTTTGCTGCAATTATACTAAGGCAAAGACAAGATACTGCTTATTCCATAACTCATCTTTCTGGGGTAATACGGAATTACACAGACCATGCAAGAAAGATTCAGATATGCTCTAGAGAGATGCAGTCCTGTGTGGTCTTATTCTGTGCTTTATATTTTGCAGTATTGAAGACAATAGGATGACACATGGATTTGAGAGAGATCTGCACATATTTTCCTTCATAAGTCAGGATTTCCAATGAAAAGCTCTGGAAAACAGAGATACGTGTCCAAAGATCAGCTCAGTCTGAGCCTTGGGGTCCAATTTTCATCTCAATCAGATGTAATTTCCCATAAGTCAAAGGATTCATAACCATACAAAAATCAGCACATACAAGCCAAACTCAGACCACATCTGGTAGTAAGGACAGCTGGCAATAAAGTAATACTGGATGCAGAGGTACAGGCCCAGAGTGCCTAAAAATGCGGCCAGCAGAACTGGACCGGGGGATGCTGGTCAACAGCAGATTAAACGCAAGCCAGAAGTGTTCCCAGGCAGCCAAGAAAGGCCAGCAAGACTAGGGAAGTGACTGTCCCTTTGCACATGGCTCTGGTGAAATCACATCTTGAATTCTGCAGCTTTGAGTCTGTCACTACAAGAAGGATGATGAGTTGCACAGGCACACACAAAGAGCAGCAAAGTTGGGGAAGGTACTAGAAAACAAAAATTCTGAGGAGTGGCGGGGGACTGGCCAGTTTAGCCTGGAGAAGAGAAGGCTCAGAGGAGAGCTCATTGCTTTCTATGATGATCTGAAGGGAGGCTGCAGCAAGGCCACTGGTGTCTTTCCTCAGGTAAAAAGCAATAGGACACGAGGAAATAACCTCAACAACCTGGGGAGATTTAGATTGGATATTAGGAAGAATTTCTAATATTTAAGAGTATTTAAGAGATGTGGATATGGCACTAAGGGACGTGGCTTACTGATGGGACTCTGTAGGTCAGGTTGATGGATGGACACGATGACCTTGAAGGTCCCATCCAATCTAGATGATTCTATGACTTTAACAATGTGAAGGATGCTAAATGAACGGCACACTTCTTTTTTTTCTGAATCTATGCTTTCACAACTTACAGCTTCTGGTTTCTGGAAGCTGCTTTGCCTCACCTCTAGCTTCCTGGAAGAACAACTTACCTTTAGTTATGCATAACATTTATTATTCCCTGATTTTACTTGTATGAATAATATCTAGAATTTGAAAAATTGGTGTTGCAAGGAAGTTGTTCAAGCAAGGCTCAGACTTAGCTCATATAAATACGTCATTCTGCACTTCAGACTTTCTCATGGTCTTGGAGGCTGAAAGTGGTTTTAATTAGAGACATTTGATGTCCAATACTCATGGAGAAGGGGCTCTTTCAGCCCAGACCTTGCAGTTGATCCCTGCCATGGCTGATGTAAGGGTGCTCTCCAGTGTGAGATCAGAAAATGGCATGGCAGTGAAAGAATTATATTTTAGCAAGTGAATAAAAATATGTGTTCTTAGACAGCCACCTAGTGAGCTTAGTGAGGAATCAAGAGCTGGAAGAAAATTCAGTGAACTGTGGGAGACTGGAGTTACTCTACAGTTACGATGCTAAAATTACCCGTGAGCTTCACAGTTTTTTATCCTCATAGTAAATGCAGTAACTGAGAAAGGCTCTTGAATTACTGAACAGCTGTGAGAAGATTCCTTATTACCTAGCAATTCTATAAATTAATGTTTGGGTGGAAGCTTAAGTATTAAAAAAAAAAGGTATCAAGGCTAAGTGAATTTCAAACTGTTTAGGAACAAGTGTGCATGTGTGATTGTAATATTTCATCTCACCTATATATTATATAACTATTTCTAAACTAAAAGACTTCTACTGATAGAAAAGTTATACACCACATAACATTTAAAAAAAAAAAAAAAAAAAAAAGGAGCCGAAGTCCAGAGTCTAAGGTTTGCAATTGAGAATTTGGACAGAGAGTATGCATCACTGGCGTATGTGTTCAAGGAAACACTTCTGCTACTGAAACTTGAACATTGTGAAAATAACACAAAGACTTAAGTGATACAAGAGAACCTATGACTACTGTTCATACAAAGAATAGCATCTACGTTTACTGCTGTAAGTGTACTTAGTACTACATACCAAATTTCATCCCTGTGAAAGAAAAAACAAAAAACAACTAATGCCCCCTGACAGACAGCCATAAAAGTTCACAGAAGAATATTCAGGTATGATTTCTGAGTTTGTCTTTGCAAAGTTATTCCTGGGAGATCACCGCAAAGTTCCATACTTATGGCTTCATATCTTCAGTTAGTGCTCTGGATGGCCACAAAGGCAGAATATGCAATTTCATCCTCATGTTAGGAAGATGCAGAACGTGTGGATTTATAGCAAAGCAGCCAGAGCTTGAACCTCATCTGTCCAGTGGTTACATATTAACCACTGCTTCTTAAATTACTTTTTGCTATAAAGATGTCTTAAACGAGAAAGCTACCAGCTGGTATCTTTTAAAACTGTGATCATTGAAAATGAAAAGTTCACCTGAAATAAAACATTACGACACTAATGGAAAATATATTTAAAAAAAAAAAAAAAAAAAATCACCATTCTCCAAAGTTTAAGATTAATAAGCCACAAAATAACTGTACGAAGGTGAGTAGGTCAAAGAGGTAACAAACACTGTGGATTACAATCTGTTTGGGATGCTGTATAGTTTCTACAAGTGTCTACTTGCTATCTCCCAAAAATCAGACACAGAGAACTACCATAGCTGCAGACTGTGTCAGTCCTAAACCATTGCTGGAGCTTAAAAATACAGTTTCTTTGTTCTTGCAGACTTGTTTGTAATCCACAAATCCAATAACATAATAATATACTAAAAGTAGCATACTTTGAATCCCTCTCAAACACCACTTCCATGTGTCTAATTAAATACCCTTCACACACACTAAACAATTGCAAAGAAAAAGACCTCTCCCTCATGAGGGCCAGATGATTTTAATTAGGTCTCACTCAAAAATCTTCCTGCACTCCTCGCGTGGCTCAGCTCACTTCAAAATGCACAGTCACACTGAGATCTCACGCTGTTGTCCGAGCCTCATTTCCTTTCCACATTGGTTTCTGCTTTTCTGTTCCAATTTCCACCCTGTTCCTTAGGAATTTACTGTCATCCAGCCCTCAGAGCTCCAGTTCTGACACTACCTATACATGTAGGGCTGGTATCATTTGATTTGATTTTTATCATCAGCCCAGCAACTGGAACATAAGTAGATGTTTACAGATAATGCAACTATTTCTTCTGCTTCAGTGCAATTGATATTATCATAGCTTACAAAGTCCTGTAGCTTATTCTTATGTGATTTCCTTTCTTGATCTTAAGTATTTATACACAGACGAGGAAATAGCTACCTACTACTGTTTTAAGGCAGCATTATACCAAAGACTGTAGTTACAAAAATAGTCGAATGTTAATAATCACTATTAGCCCTGAAGCCATGATGGTACTGAGTTTTCTATCTACATATATAACACATTCTTGCTTTTATGCAGCTCACCTGAAGTGTAAAATTCATCGCTATCGGACTACACAGCAGCTAATACTTCTTAACACTTGTAAAAGTGTAAAATATATTCCTTCTTTGTTACATCTGCAAAGGTTCTATGTTCTTCTTTTAGGTAATATTTGTATGGCACTAACTTCTACATTATGCAGTTAACATCTTTTCAGTGACAAACCCTAGAAGGAATCCTTCTGAGTATTTTCTCTAATTCTGTGTTCCCATCATGTTTAGAGAACACTTTTTGCAAGTATTTGACCTCTGCTCCTGAAAAGTGGATGAGCTCTGCATGTTTATAGATATCTGATACAGAGAACACCTCTCTTGTGAACAGTCATTCAGATGTTACTTTTAAAAATTATTATTTTTTCCCCTCTGTGACCTTTTGTCCTGACATAATCTTGTGATTGGAATTACCCTCTGTGGCACTGACAGTAGCCATAAGACATTACAGAATTTCAGCCTGTAGCAACAAAAATGTGAACAGCTTCTGAACCTACAAGACAGCATAGCCTTAAATTCTGTCCCAGGACTTTCATTTATTCAACAATCTGTTCAATACTGCTGCTCTGCCACTTTATATAAGCAAAAACTTCCCACAGCTCATCCAGAACTTAATAGAGTGCCCACTTCTACCGTTTGACGTTTTACTTTACCCTTGTGAGACAGTTCCCTCCACTGATCTCCCTTAGTGGTCTTAATTTTGGAACAGAAGTGCTGTGTCATAGAAGCAGGCTGCACAGTGAGATGGTAGAATCAGTTGTTTAGAGAAACTCTTATGTCATGTGGGAAAAATTTTAAAGGCAAATTATAGATGTTTAGATCCTAATGAAATGATCAGCCCTTGCTATATATATTTCATGGACATTACTAATAGAAATGCTAAAACAGTCATACCCAGCAGAGTGCTATTCTTACTACTCGGCATCAGCAAAACCTGAGCACTTTTCACCTTGTCCCTGTATCTATATATCAAGAGATCTGTGGAACAAAATTGCAGAGAGGCTACCATTACAAGGCTCTGAAAACATGGGAAAAGTGAGCTCATGTCTACCACTCACTGTTGTGTAAACATAAGAGGAAACGATCAAAAGTTGGTGCTAGATTGGCAACAACACATCCTGGAGAATGGAACAAGACGACAACTGCCCAAGTACACTTGATTAAAATCACATGTCCAGGTTAAGCCTAAACCGTTCAAAGTTTTAGTTACACTGCTGTCAGCACAACGGAAAGGTTGGCTAAGCTACAGTTACAGGTTTGGGGAGGAGATGGCCTAAGTATGTCCAAAAAGCTCTGGTCAACCTTTGATTAAGGCCTACCACTGCCAAAGCACAGCCTGGAAGTAGTTTTGTCTGAATTCAAGTAGTGGTAAAACCATGTTTTTCTTACATAATGAAAAGCACAATGCTTATTTAAGTGGAAAATCGTGACTAGTAGCATTAATCCTGACATTTCATAGTAACTCTTCTCCAGAGATCTGAAAGCAGGTGGCAAAATTGCTACAAGAAGCTGTGCCCTTCCTTCCTTTTATGAGTGCACAAATATATTTCAAAACTTTCCAGCAAGTGACAAAATAAGGCACCACTTCATTCTGCTTTCATGCTATATCCACTTCATTCTGAGCTCCCCTAGCTAGAAGCATTCTATTCAAGTTGCTACAAATGGAAGCCAGTTTATT